GCAGTGATACATAAACCAATTTGACTTAAGAATTGATGAAGACACTCTTCAAAAAAAACACACTTGATTAAACTTCACAGCTTTTTAATCAAGCAACACAATCACTCGTGCTTCACAGCTTTGAGTGATGTACACAACTAACTTGACTCTGCTTCACAGCTTTAGTCAAGGGACATTCAAACACTCTTGCTTCAAAGCTTTGAGTGCTACACAACCCTTACAATCAAAACCTATTCCAAGGCACTTATCACAATGATAATTGCTTGGAGTACAATAAACAAATCTATACAGATTACAAAATTGATCTTCTAATCAATCAGCAGGGATATCTTGAAAAACCGCAGCTCTGTTGAATATATAGCAGCTGCAACTTCAGTTAGGGTTTCCAAAAACCTGGGGTTGATTCCGTTTGACCTAAAGACCAGGTCACAGTATTTTATTGATCAGGTTAGGATTAAGCTAGGTTACTCCTCAGAAAACGCAGGATTCTGTTTAGAAAGGACTGAGTTATTTCCTGAAAAAACTCAGACTTATCCAATCCTGCAATCCTGTTAGTTCAGAACAGGATGTCATAACATCTGTTATGACATCTGAGAAAACCTGTCTACTGATTTAGCAAAATGTGATCATTTTGCAAACATGCTCAGATACACACTTATAAACATCAGTATTTGAATTACAATATTTTTCTGCACATGTACCTAATGAGTTAGTACAACCTGAACTAGAATGTTATGACATCAGTCATGACATTCACACATACACTTGGGATTTACCAAAAATGCAAGCCAATACCTAAACACCTACAAGCATGATAAATGGAATCCAAGACTATGAATCAAGTCGCCTTGGCCTGCTGAGCACGATGGTGCCCTTCTTGTGGCCCAATTTTACATGTACCAAAAGATCCTAAAACGAGCCAACAAAACCTAGCAATGGTGAATTCTGATATAGTCCACAAAAATGCAATTAAATTTTATAGATAGCTTGCAAATGCTTCAAGGAACAAGAATATGTAAGTATTTCATGTTATCAATATTAAAATCATGTAATTCGATTTCAAGAAAAGTTCAAAGTCGTGGATTGCTTACATTGGGTTTTAGCGCAGAAAAATCCTTGTTCTTGATTGGTATGGCTTGCTTGCAATCCCAGGAAGTGAATGAGATGGTCAGGGAGCCTTGTAATCGCCTGGAAATATGAAATCAAGCCAGCACTTTTTGGTGATTTTTCCAAGTTTGGTTCTTCCTCTATGCGCCTCCAAAGCTTTTGTTTTAGGTCTGCAAATGTTCACTATATACCAAGGATTGGATTAGGGTTGGAATTATGCTCTCAATCTTTATCCATTATAGCTTTTGATTTTGATTTGATTCACTTGAAAATCTTTCCAAAATAGGCCAAAATCAATCTTTTTGTGCCCACTTATGCCTTGCACGAATTGATTCATTTTCTAGCTTGATATAGGACCTGAAACATGCACAAGATCTTGAGGTTTCAATGATTTGGATTTTTTTCATGATTTGTTTTGATTTAAATTGATTTAATTCAAATAAAAATCAAAATAAATAGAAAAAATAAGATAAAGACAAATGGGAAGAGATAGGGCTCGTGGACCATTCTACCAACTCAAAACAAATGCAAAAGATTAGGCCCATTTAGCAAAAATTGCAATTTGAGGCATAGTTGACTTTTGACAATTTTGCAAAAAAGGTCAACTTCACCAATGCATAACTTCCTCAATTTTGACTCTTTGAAGGTGTTCTTGGACTTTTTAGAAATATTGGGATGTCCTCTAAGCAACCATTTTGGTATCATCTCAATTTGCTATTCCATGTTCTTGTATGAAGCTTTGACAAAAAAAGGTGTTTTTGTTGACTTTTCAAAATGACCTATAATGTCCAAATTCATAACTTCTTGTGAGTGCATATTTTGAACTTGGGAGATTAAGATGGATTGTATTTAATTGCATCCTCTTCAAAATGAGTTTTGAATGGGTCATTTCTCGTGAAGTATGAGAAAGTTATGCTTGGTCAAAGTTGAGTTGACTTTTCCTGCAAAACCCTAATTTAGTAACTTTTGGTTCTTGATGAATTGTGAGCAATCCTTGATGAATCATGATCAACCCTTGATAAAATGATGAATAATACTTCAAAATTAGAATGTTGACCAAAAATCTTGAAGTTTGACTGTATGTGGGCCACAGTTGACTTTTGCCCTAGCACAATCGATTTTTAGGCTTTTGAGCAATTGACTGAGCAAACTTTCTCTGTAGGGCTTGAAACTTGACATGGATGATCTTGAGAACATATTATAACAATAGTGATAATTTGGGATCCCTTGGACTCAAGTATCTTGATGCAACATGAAACCCTAATTTGAGGTAGACTGTCTTAGGAGAGAGTTTGTCTGGTCAACCCTTGGACTTCCTTGAGCAGATTGAGGATCTTACTTGAAATGTTTTGAGAAATATGGGAGGGAAAATTTTGGGGTACAAAAAATCCTCTAACACTTCCCACGCATATGCAAATAGTCATATGTTGATGGCTCCACTGATGATATGTCACGTGCCTTTGCATTTGTCCCGCTTAGAGGAAACCAGTCGACTGAGCCCTTCAAATTGTATATTGATTGCACATCAATAGAAGATATAATATTCCAACCATATGACCCTCAAGGTCAGACGCGTCTCTTGGATGACATAGTCTTCTACTCTTAATGGTTGAATTATGGACCACTTCTGATGTATCCACATTTATCTGAGCGAGTCATGCACTAATTCAGGTAATATACCATTTGTTCCAAGAGAATCCTCTGAAGCACGAGGTACTATAGCTCATAGTGAATAGAGTTGTGCATAAGGCCACATCCATTGATACTTTAGAATGTTATATCTTTACATGACACCAGAGCAACCTAACCCAGATCATCAAGAGATATTAGAAGAGTGGGTTAGGACAAATCATGATGTTGATGTGTTGCCTACATGTCGTCATATTATGGATCTTGCACAAGAGGGTATAAACGTAAGAGACTTTTTGAAAGGCACTTTTGAGAGGACCATTGTAGATGAAATTGTTATTAAGACACGAACGACATTGCAATGCAGGAGACATCAAAGAAATAAGGGGGTTCAATGTACACGATAGTATTGTATTTGTATTAGGGGTGATATTATTGTTTGTAATTTATTATTTTAACTGTATTATGAATTCAGGATTGATTCATTTATGATATTTTTATTTTATTACATCAGTGTTTGGCTTAATTGATACAAATGTATTATAATAGTATAATTATAATACATGATCTATTACATAGGTGTTTTCTATAATAAAAAAGGTCAAAATTTACTAACTATAGGGTAAATACGGAAGTGTATGTATTTTGATACGAAAATACATTTCCAAGCTAAATTATGTCTAAATCAAAGTGTCTCAGTCAAAAATAGATTGAGTGCATATATAGTGAATACGAGAGGATATCTCCGTACCAATTTCTAGCAAAAAAAAGATAGTGTAACATTTACCTATAAATTTGATATAAATAGGTGCATCCAAAAATATACTTTTGAATTCGTAGGAACATTTTAAAATTTTCATAGAGTATTTTTCTACCACTTAGCGTGAGAGAAATGATGCCCAAAAAAATATATTGCGTACTTGCTAAGGTTGCTTTCTCCTTCGCTTGAACAACCTAAGCTCTCTAAGAGGTGTCTTTTTTTAGGAAAATTCTTTGACCGCCTTTATATGAGTGAAAAACACCTTTGAGAACCTCAAAATACTCTTCGGATATGCATATCTGAACGAACCCTTAAAATAATTTTCAAGATGTTTCGGATATACATATCCAAAAATCCCTTGTTTACATGTTATTCTAATTTGGACAACAGTCAGTGATACTTTCGGATATGCATATTCGAAACACCTTCAAAATTGATTTAAGGGTTCGTTTGGATATGCATCTCCGAAATCCTAGATAGAATGCTTTTACATCATAGTTTTTTTTTAAAAACATGGTACCTAATAAATGTCAAATATTTGATACATAATACCAAAGACCGAAAATGATACGAACATAAATTGTTCATAAACATCAAAAATTAGTACATAAATTATTAAGAAAGTACATAATGTAAAATAAATACATCGGTAAATAAAAGAAAGACATAGTCTACTGAATATGCGTAATCCTAACTCCCTGGCCCCTCCTTTGCCTTCTATAACCCATTGCAAAAGATGTCTCCCTAACCATCCTATCTACGATGATCACTGCCTCAGAACCGCCTCTCTCAATGATCTCTAAGATCAAAGTCTCATGGCCAATCAACTGCATCCGCTAATAGATTCGCAAGACATCAGTGACATGGTCATCCTGGGCCTGCTGATTCTCCAAGATCTCCTCATGAGCTGGACTAGATGGAAGTCCAGAAGCATTCAGTGTCATAATAGGGTGTGACATTGTATAGAACCATGTGACATATCCCTCTACACAATGCCCAATTGTTGGAAGCATGCATCATCTGAGCCTTCTCTTGCACCATATGGTTCTCCTAATCCTAGAAGATGTCATCGAGCTCCCGGCAGACAATGGTGTCGGGAGCAGCCTAAAAGGGAGATCTGGGTATGATCTGCACATAACCAAATTGTCGGATGCATCGCTCCGAGAGATACCTGACCAAAGTGTTGGTCCCACATGTAAGCGACCTTGAGTATAATGAGATAGAGTAGAATGGGACAATCTCCCTGTGATCCTCAAACGATGTCCAGATGATGTCATTATGAACAATTAGATCAAGATACACCTGAAACGGAGGCACAACATAATTTCCTATGTCGAGGATATACCTGGAAGCCCTCGGCATGTCTTCACCATAATTTAGAGCATAATCGAAATCATGGATGCGGTGGAAGTGATAAATGATTCATCCCTAAAGAACAAATAAGTGCTATGTAAGAACAAATTATTAGCTACTAAATAAAATTTAATAATTGGAATGAAATGTACCGTGAACAATGTACAAGAGCATGTCAGCTGCCTCGTCCTCCAGTTAGAAGGTTCGTTTAGCTTTTGGTATAGGTATACCAAACAACCAGCCCCCCCGGTTTCACTCACTAATTGTGTCCAAATCAATGAAGTACTTGAGGAATGTCACATCAACGTAGTTAGCACTTTTGTCCACAAAAATAGACGTGTCAACCATGAACAAGAAGTAACACCTCAAAACACACTCGCTGTGGTATTAAACAAAGAGCTCATTGACCTCGATCTCCGAAAATGTTGTCCACATAGGTGCTCGCCATATAAGTCGCTCAAGAAAGAGAACTTGGCGCGAGCCCCATTAGTTGAGACACACCGTTCATGTGCCTTTTCGAATCAGCTCCCAAATATTCAACCATCCATTTAATTGCTTCAGCACGAGTGACCCGGAAATGGTTAAGTAACCTCCCTCTGATAGGAAGGTGTAGCAGGCATGCGATGTCATAAAGTGTGATCGTCATCTCCCCAATAGAAAAGTGGAAAGATGGTGTCTCCTTGTGTCATCTCTCGACAAATGCCCCATGCATGTCGTGGCTAATAGTAATGTAACCGGAACAACAAAGTCCGAAAAGTTTGAAGCCAATGACAGCATCCCTGAACCAAGCCTTATTAGGATGATATAGCTCAAATATTTTTCGTGCGTGGTTCAGACTTTATTGGTCAGCGTATATGTAAAAATAGATATTAATCTCAATGTTAGTTGTTAACATATTTATGCGAGAATTATTTAAATTAAAAAGTGTAATAAAAAATATACCTCTCCATTCCAAACATGTCGAGCGACATGATCGTTGTAATAGATCAATAGGGAAGTGTCAGAGGGCTCTCATGGATACCCCAGATTTGGTTGTCCCACTGCTACACGTAGTCGTGAAACCGACGTAACATCCTCCTCCTCGAATTCCTGTGCCTGAACATCATCCTCGAATTCCTGTGCCTGAACATCATCCTCGGATTCCTGTGCCTGAACATCATCCTCCTCAGGTTCATGCTCATTATCCCAAGACGAGGATGCATGAGACAGACGACTCCTCGGAGCTAAAGTGGATCCTCCTCCCACTTTCTCTCGTGATACCCGATCTCGTCCTCGATTCCTAGGCGCCTGCTCAACTTTCTCGCGTCAAACAGAGACAGTCTGACTTGGTCTACCAAGTATCTAGCATTTTTGTTCTAAGCAATTTACTTGGAAAAATAACAATTACCCAAGTAAGAAACAAAAAAAAAATTTAAAAAAACAACTCAGACATAATTTTGGATGTGCATATCTGAAACCACTCAGAGGGGATTTCAGATATACACATCCAAAAACACATGTGACGCCATTTTCGAACCTTCAACCTAAATCACCCAAAAACCACATTTTACAAGTTATACTTCAACTTACTAAACTTAAATGATTCTAAATAACCTATTATACACATGCAAAGTAGAACAATAAATTCGGAGAAACTTACCTAAATTCAAAACTTTGAAGTATCGTTGAAATGAGTTTGTTTCTTGAAAATGTGTTTTGTTCTTCAAATGAGTTGAAAGTTTTGCTCAAATTTTCAAATGAGAGTTGAGTTGGAATAGAGTGGGAATTTAGAGAGTTGCAACAAATTCTATTTCTGTTTCGAAAATTATTATATATTAAAACAATTCAGATATGCATATCCAAACATGCCTATAGTTATATTTTGAGGTTAATTCGAATATGCATATCCAAACACGCCTGTAATTATATTTTGAAGTTAATTCGGATATGTATATCTGAAAATCCCCTTACATAAATTTTTTTTTTATTCGGACAAGTATTATATCCGAATTCACCCCCTTTAAATATGTAAGGTGGTAAGTTCGGATATGCATATCCGAAATTAGGGGATAAAATAGAAATTTCGCCAAAAACCTCTAAAAAGACATGAGGGCGGCTAAAGAAATTCCCTTTATTTTTATGCAGGATTAACAAGATGCAGCACTCAAATTGTGTAAACGATATAACCAATATAAAAATTTACAAACACACTTGCGTTAACATCTCTCAATGCATGATGAACGATAATATTCATGTATAGAATGTACCATAATATAGAATGTACAATAAATACCGCATTAAGGTCTTAACGATGTTCCAACCTTGAGATACCAAGCAAAGGTCATTGATTTTTTAGAGAACTATGAAGATTCACCTTCCACCTTCAATGATCCAAAGTTACTTTGTACAAGTGAAGCAGCGGCACGAGCAGCCACAGTTGCACGATTTGCAGAAGCAATAGCGGCCCGAGCCTTCTCTAATATATCAGAGGATTGAAATATAGTCTCACTTTTAGCATCATTGACTTGGACATTGTTATTTTTGTGTGACTGCTCTATTTCATTGGTGTTCAACCAAGAATTGTTGTTAGAAGGATTGGAAGCATCAACGTGTTCATATTGTTGTTTATCGTGCGTAGATTTGATAGAATGTTCTGAATTATAAGCTGGCGAGTTATTAGAACTGTTTTTGCTGGGAGCATGAGAAACTGCAGCTCCAACACCAACTTGCTTTGTTCCACCCTACAAGTAATATGAGAAAATCATAATGAAAATAAAGAAAACTGCGAAATTCCTTATATACTAAAGTCGAGAAGTAAACGGCAAAGTACAATGAAGTAAACAGCTAAGTAAAAAGATGAAATTACCAGGAGATCTTCATGATTTTTCCTAAATTCTGCAGCAGTTTTAGAAGAATCCCATGCTAGATTGTATTCTTCTGCAATATCTGTCAAGACCTTGAGTTTTACCTCTCCGGATGGAGCATTAACTGAAAGCTTTTCAATTATCTGCAATAATAATTTCAAAAAAGATATACTAGTGACAGTAAGCAATTATTCAATTGTTAATACTCCAGTATAATCAATAGTTGTTGGGTGATTTGTTTTACATTGAGAAATTACATCTAAAGATAACTCACTGTGCGGTTCACGCCTGAATCGGGACGAAGTTCAGATACTGCAGAGATAAAGTCCTTCCCATATTTAGTGGTAAACAAGTTCTTGATGTGCAGTAAGTCTGGTATATCAGAACATCTAGGAGCAGCAAAAATTATACTTGCGATGGCTTCTCGCAATTCAGGTGGGCAATCCCTATTATGTCGAAGCAAAGCCTTAAATTTCTATTAGAAAAACAGTTTTGCCCTTAATTGTACCCAAAAAAATGTGACTGTTTGAAAACTCAATTAAGTACTGAAAATAAATCTTGTGAGCACTGAGAATGATTTGGCATGGTGAACTATAAATACTTACTAAATCAGAATAAGTGAAAAGTGCTGAAAACCATTCAATGTATGGGAGATCACGGAATGCCTTTCAGAGCAATAAATTTTTACCAACAATAAAATACACAGAAAATATGAAATACAAAAGTGTAGCATATGAGATCAGGATGTTAGTTGGATGTGTTATTAGAGTGAGATATGAGAGAGAAGAGAGAAAAAGCTAAAAGAGAAAAGAGAGAAACAGATTCTGTTATTTCTTAATTGGAAAGGAGCATTATGCTCTATTTATACAAGAGGAGATGAACATTCAAGAGTTGAATCATTCAAGCTCTACAATTAAGGAAGACTTTTCTTATTCTATTAAATTAAGGCTGGACTTAATTATTCTATAGTGCTGATTATTCATATTCTAAGATATAACTCTAATACTCCCCCACAAGCTCAAGGTGGCTGCAAAGGCTGACTTGAGGCAGACAGGTTGAGCTTGCTGCTGAGCTCCATAAATCTTGAACATGAGAGAGGCTTGGTGAGGATGTCAGCCTTCTGGTCAACACCAGGAATGTGGCAGACAGTGAGAGACTTATTAATCACCTTTTCTCTTACAAAAAAGAGGTCAATTTCCATATGCTTTGTTCGTGCATGAAGAACAGGGTTATGAGCCATAGCAACTGTGCTCTGGTTGTCACAATAGATGGTTGGAGTTGTCAAGGGAATTTTTAGTTCAGCTAGCAAAGTTTGAACCCATAAAACTTCAGCTGTGGTGTGAGCCAAGCTGCGATACTCTGCCTCAGCACTAGAACGAGCAACAACAGTTTGCTTTTTGGACCACCAAGAGATCAAATTAGGGCATAAGTACACAGCTGACCCAGAGGTGGATCTTCTATCATCTGGGTCAGCAGCCCAGTCAGCATCACAATAGGCTTGCAGAGAGAACGGAACAGTGGAGGCTGGAGTGAACAATAAACCAGAGGTGATAGTTCCTTTTAGGTAGCGCAGAATACGCTTGACAGCTAGCCAATGGGACTCCAAGGGGTGTGCCATGAATTGACATACTTTGTTAACAGCATAGCAGATTTCTGGCCGTGTAATTGTTGCATACTGCAGGGCCCCTACAATGGACCGGTAGTGGGAGGCATCAAACAAGGCAGCAGACCCTGTTTTGATGAGTTTGGTGGAGGAAGCCATAGGAGTAGCAACTGGATTGGAATTCTCCATATCAGTTTTGATTAGCAAGTCCCTTAGGTACTTAGATTGAGTGAGAAGGAGATTTCCATTGGACAATTTCTTCACCTCAAGGCCCAGAAAATAATCCAAGTCACCAAGTTGTTTGAGAGCAAACACATGATTTAATTGTTGAGTAACTTGCTTGATGAGAGGAGGGGAGTTTCCTGTGATGATTATATCATCAACATAAACCAGCATATAAATGACAGCATTGTGATGCTTGTAGATGAAAAGTGAAGTATCACACTTGCTGTTTAGAAAGCCAAAGGATAAAAGAGTGGTTTTGAGTCTTTCAAACCATTGCCTCGGGGCTTGTTTTAGGCCATACAAGGCCTTGTGCAAGTGACAAACCAGAGATGAATTAGGGGCAGTAAATCCAGGGGGTTGCATCATATAGACCTCCTCTTCAAGAATGCCATTCAAAAAGGCATTGTTTATGTCCAACTGCTGCAAAGGCCAATTGTAAGTTAGAGCAAGAGTCAAAATAATTCTAATTGTGACCGGTTTAATAACAGGGGAGAAAGTTTCATTAAAGTCAAATCTATGGACTTGATGGAACCCCTTAGCAACAAGCCTAGCTTTGTACTTATTTACTGTCCCATCAGCATTTTCCTTTACACGAAAAACCCACTTGCAGCCTATTGCTTTCCTGTTAGCAGGCAGTGGTACCAACTCTAATATGTGTTAAGACTAGACGGAATAAGATTAAAAATGACAATATTAGAGTGTGCTGGAGGATTACACCTATGGTAGAAAGATGGTGGAAAATAGGCTTAGGTAGTTTGAGCATGCAGAGAGAAAATTTGTAGATTATGTCATAAAGAGAGTAGATAAGATGGAGAGAAGTCAAACAATTAGAGATAGAGAAAGATCTAAAAAACTAAAAGAGAAACTATTAAAAAAGATCT